TGGAAAAAAGAAAGAAGGCTTCTAGCATGATGTAACTGATACCTATGACATATATCTCTTTTTTCCTGTTTTCAGATTTCAGGCGAATGGTGGCATTGTACAGAAACGACATATATCGTCCTTAGATGAGGTATCTGTGATTAATAAAATAATTAATTTTTTATTATCAAATTTATAGCTATGATTTATGGTAATTATTTATTTGTTGATATATTTCATGTGTACATAAAAGATGTCTAAAATATATATGTATGGGAAAATGAAAAAAATAAATTCTATACAATTCTTTTAAAAAACATCAAGTGCAAGGACATTCCCAATGATTCGAATGAATTCACATTGGTTCAAAGAAATTCACAGTGATTTGAGGTGTTATGGAACTTCAAGTCTATAGCTGAGTTATGGAAGGATGACTGTTCTTTTTAGCTCTCGCCTTACTATGACGTATTAGTTAACTGCACTGGACTTGGATCATATCAAATGCTCGGAGATCATGACCTGCGTCCAGTACGAGGTCAAGTGTTTAGGGTGAGTACTGTACGAATTTATGAGTCCACGAAACTGTCTAATTTGTAGAAACAACGAAAATTGAACCCAACGAAAATAAATGAATCCACAGTATACTATTGTATTCTTTTTGCGATCGTTGTGACGTCATGGATGAAAGTGCAAACTACAAAAATCCTAACCTGTATATAGCGAATACAAAGTAAATATGAAGTGTATTGCAATAGAAATTACAAATGTGATGCCTTATAATCTAGTTTTCCAGGAGCTGATAACTAGAACAGACAGACATGACAGTATACATATCTTAATGATAAGGTAGAGATATAAAATCGATGTTTTTGTTTCAAACAATTACCCGTTGTTGTCTATTCCCTAAATGTGATGTACTATCCTAATTTTCGCGATGTCAGCATTTACGTTTTTGAATTATTACGGTAATTCATGGTAGCATTTTATCAGTTTTAAATTCTGAGAACGTTTTCAATAGGACACACTAAACAATAACACCTTAATTAAGAATATTGCCAAAAACGAATTAAACTGCATCATGCAGCTGTTTCGTTAATTTTTAATTTTACAAGTAGGATTCGTTAGTGAAGATAAGGGCCTAAATTTTGAAACCTAGGAGGCGATTGAAGAAAATCTAATGATCGAAAAAAAAATTAAAATCTGGATGGGGAGGTGCATTAGCCAAATAATTCAATGTATTTAGTTATTTTCATAATAAGATCATTTTAGAAATCTCAAACATACTAAAAACAAAATGATGGTATTGTAGAAAAATACATTCGTAGGCACCACAAATGGAAATACAGCTGTAATTTGACGCCTAATAAGTTAAGTTAGAATATAGATAATTCAGTAAAAATATTGTCGTTTGAATAACTATGTGATAATGGTTATAAAGACTCCTATGTTAATACAAGTTGTTAGTTCTGATGACATGAGTGCTGCTATGCTTATTGATCATTGTTCGTTGGTATACTTGATGGTTTTGTATGAAACCTGTTCTTATTTGATTTTACATACATCGTTTGATTAATTGTCAAAATTTACGGTGTCGTCAAATTTGAGTTAAATTACGGTTTTGTGTTAAATATTGTGTTATTGTTTTTTTTCAACAGGTGCATGCTCCGTGGATCAAACATTTCTATGTAGACATTGACCCTACAGACCCAGACAACGAGTATTATGTTCTTCCAGGGTAAGCAGAGATTCACGTCATCTCTAAAGGTCTTTAAAACATCATTATCCTAAAGAAGTAAATGTCTATATACAAGTTGGCATGTTTTGGGTAACTTAAAAGTAAACTGATTTATCTAATATATATTCCTGCTGTCTTTGTATCAGTAGTGGTTTATGAATTTTTCAACTCAAAGATTAATTTCACCCTTTTTGGTGACTAGCTTTATCTGTGTATAGCACCAATGGCAGTCGGATTTAGAATCATCCTGTGAGTAATATATCTATACCGACATTGACAGATTTTCGTTGGAACATAACATTACAATAAATGAGTTAGAATTCTTTTATTTCTACGAAATTTCAGAAAGAGGAAAAAAAGTTTATACATAGCGATCTATTTACTTTATGAAAATAATGATTGTTTTATAAGTCACGTCAATCTAAGGCAATATAAAGAATAAGCACACCGTATCTAATTCACCATATGAACATACTATATAGCCAGTTATTTTCGCAGGGATGATATGGTTGCTCTTTTGCGAAAAGTAAATCCTTGAAATATCAAATGTACCTTTTACATTCAGATCGCAAAATTTTGATTTGTTTCGATCATTTTAAGAGAAAATAGTCCCTTTTTTATCCGTGAAAATTACTACCTTTACAGTATTAGTAGTCAAATACGATCAATGTATGATATTTAGTATAGCTAACACTGAAGAAGTATGACGAACACATGTTTGTCTCGTTTACACAGTGCACGCGACGTGGTCGTAGGAGGCACCAGTCAAGTGGGAAACTGGAACACACAAGTGAACATCAGTGACCGTGATCATATATGGAACGGTTGTTGTAAACTGCTACCTAGTTTAAAGGTATAAACTTGTAAAACACTTTGACCGCATCTTCTCTGGCTATCTGACATGACATATTTTTTTGTGCTGCATGTATTCATATGATCGTCGCATCATAGACAAATTACTTTGTTAGCAAGAACATATTCGTAGCATTACAACATGTATTTAATACGAAAATAAGAACGTCACGTCAAAATCAATGACATATGAAATTAGTTTCGGTTCCAGGTTAGTTGGGAATGTCAGTATGCATGCTTTTGGATTTCATTGAGTTTACGATTCTTGAATTATTGTTTCCTTTTTTCCTTGATATTATCTTCAAAGAATGCCAAAATACTTGATGAATGGGTGGGTTTACGACCACAGCGAACCAGAATAAGAGTGGAACTTGAAAATAAACAGACAAACACAGGAAAAAGAGTTATAGTAAGTGTTATAAATATCAACCACAAAACATACCAATATAAATACAAAAGTTCATCGCGGGCGTGTCTTTAACTGTTCACTTTAACTGTTGTGTTTAACAAGTTAGCGACTACAATGTACTGGCTTCTGAGTATTTACAAAGGCAATTAATGTAATGCTTATGATATGATTTGACATGATTTTTTATCCATTCAAAATCATCACAACTTTTAGCGTTATTTAAAACAATTACTATAATAGTTTTACAGTAGTAATGAAACATCTGCCAGGTAGTATGATATCAGTGATGATAACAAAACAACCATATGAATATTATCCGTGCTAATACACATTTATTTCAGTAATGTATCAGTATTGAAAAGAGATTTCGATATTATACAACGTGACATCATAATGTTATGAAAATGAAGAAAATTATAAAATTGCCGGAGTAGTGCACCTCCCAATCTAGATTTTTACATTTCTTTCGATGAGTTTGGATTTTCCTCAGTCGCCTCTTATTCGTCTGACGAGTCCTAGAAGAACGAAACAGCTGTATGATGCAGTTCACTTCATTTCTTAGCTCTAATATATCTACCTCCAAATTTGTATTGAAATGTGCTACTCACTTGAGTGTTATATCCATCCACATAATTAGTTAAGTTTTAGTGTCTATTTCAGTCAATGTTATTGAACATTGATTCCCAATTTAATTTTTGTCGCAATTTGGAGAGGTTTGTAGATAATATATATACCGTAATGTTTTGTTTGTATAGATAGTCCATAACTACGGTCATGGTGGTTCAGGAGTCACGCTACATTGGGGTTGTGCACTGGAAGCTACGAAATTGGTGACGCATGCGCTGAAGATGGGTGTCCCAAAATCAAGTTTATAGAACAATATCGAGATTGCCTCCGGATTGTTGATTCTAATGAACAACGTAAACACAAGTAATGTCAATTGTATGTAGAGAGATTAAGATTTTTTGGCATGCGCTACTGTACAAAGGTATCGTTTTGTTTAAAACTTTAAATTTGAATGTAATTACAAAGACCAATAATGTAGTACAGACTTTAAGATATATTTGTCTATGCACTACATACACATATAAGTTAAATGGTCATTTATCCTGTCATCCTTAAGACTGAGAATGTCGATATATCAAGCAATACAAAAGGAAATCTGAATTCACTGAAATACAATACAGATTTTTTCAGTATTATTATGTCATTTCTTGATTTTATCATTTTCATGTGTCAAAAATCCTTACTTGGACCGTTTTGAAATTTTGAAATAGTTAATTCTTTGATATGATTAGTTTCTTGTCTGTGCTCGACCAATCCCGTCATTTGTTAAAATGTTGTCAATAATGATACATATGTTACTCGACACAGCAGAGAAAAATCGTGATCCGGGCAATTTTAGCCGGCAACGAAGATTATTAGGTTATCAAGGGTCTACTGTATTCGATAAAGACCAATGCTAATATGTTATTCATTGCTTAGAAGAAGAAAGAATTAACACAATATCAATAATTTGTCCATCCGAAGTATAAAAGAGACAGTCTGAAATCGGACACTCTTGTAATATCTTGAGTTAAAGATGTGCTTGATAGTTCTGATTATTAATATGAACCTACGATATTTTAAAGCAAATATAATCTTTGAAATAGGAGAGAATCCCTTACATTATTTTCAAAGAAGACATTTGAAGGAAATATAAGACGACACATAACAGACAGCCAATTCAACATGGCTTAAAGTCATATACATTTCGTACCGTAGCCAGTAAAAATAACACATTCATCAAAAGTAAAGAAAATTCAGACATATTAACAGAAATGAAGCTTAACATTGACACATCTATAAAATACATGGTGAATGAAATATTGTCACATAAGGCATCTAGATTTGATATAAAGTAATAAAAAAAACTTAGTCTAGAAGTTTGTTTACATGTCTCAAGCAATGCATAATGACAAAAAACAAAAAAACAAAACAAAAAAGAAAAAAAAACGCTTTCAAACATTCGAATGTTAACAGCATGAATTTAAACAAATATTCTTAGCAAAATATTGAATAATAATCTATCTGATCGCATTATATCACTTAAAACGATTACAATACAGAAATGACAAATATGGACTTGTTACCACAAATCATATGAGTTGTGTGATATATAGGTATTTAATTTTTTACATAATCTTTATCTATGTGTATATTTACAAAGGAAACTTGTTCCCTAGCAGCGTAGTAATAATCAAATCTCAAATGGTATATTCGTTCGTATGTATGTTTGTATGTATATTAAAGAATTAGTATACAAGCAACAATGAAAAATGTGAGACTCTAACTTGAAATGATATTACTACTTCGATTGTTACTTTTTCATCAGTCATCAGTAACCTTTAAAAACTATCGTTTAGGTTATTGTAACATAACATTTGCATGAAATTAATGTTATGCAAATTTATTTCATCAAATGCTGAAAGTTCTAAGCACCTGTGTATAAATCCAATGTAAATTATTCAAGTTGTGATCAAAATGTAATTTTGGAAATATAAAACCATGTGACTCATTTTCATCCCGTTTTCATTGCCTCTGTATGTGGCGACCACATAATTCTAAATTTTAGTTCACCTTCGGCCTTAGAACGTTTCTGCAAATTTGTTTTAGGGGTTTTGGAGAAGTCGAAAATGTCAATTGATTACAGACGGATTACCCATGACAAACGACAGTGACCAAAAGGCAACTGCACAGTCAACTAAGACGAAATTTCAGATGACCGGAAAATAGGCTAAATAATAGCAATATAATATTACTACCCAAGGAAACATTTTGCTGAGTAATTTCTGTTAAATTTTGATATCACTAGTGAACAGATTACAGCTCAATTCAATGTAAAAAGTCTGTATTCATTGTTGCATACACGAAATCGTTAAGAGACCACTAATGATCGTTACTGACAGAAAAATATCGATAATAACATATTTCATGTTTGATTGAAAGACCAAAAGAGGCATAACAGCACTAGTTCCATTAGTCCTACTTTAGGTTCAGTATCAGATATACAAATGTGTGTCCGAGAGGCTCACGCAGTATATTTTAGTACCTTGCAATACAGTTATTACTGTATATAATTATTATAGAATACCATTGCAAAACTGTAGAAGTTGAATTATGAACATTGAATACCATTTTTCTATCAAGTCTGTTGATAATGATACGAATATTTTTTATTCCATACTTGTAGCGGGGAAATGTCAATGTTGCTGATATGAGCATGTTTCTCTATCTAAATGTAGAAAATGCTGTCAGTTTGATTGGTTTTTACATTGCACTGTGGCTTAAAGACGCGACTGCAATTTTAATCTGTGGCCTAGGATGATGGTCCTTCGTAGTTTTGGTATTCTGACAACGCATCGAAGTGTACCTTTACTTCTCGATTGCACATGACGTAACTCTCCTGTAAAATGGATATTGATAAGTCAGATTAGAATAAAAGCAGTAAAACAGCATAGAGAATACAGACACAACAACAATATCAAAGTCAATGAATCTAAGGCAAAATATGAACAATGCAATGCACAGAGACTCCGCACAAGAATGAAACCAGGTGTTCCGGAGGAACGTATGTGGAGCAATGTATGCGATTCGCTTGTTACACGATAATTACACAAGTGAGATAGAGTGCGTTACGGTTATTTTTCAAATCCAATATTGCGCTGTATCAGGTTTGTATATTGTTATTCATTGTTATTAAAGAATTGCATGTCCGTGGAAATACACAAAGAGTCTTGATTTTTGTATTTCACACTTAGAAGTTTTTAAAAAAATATTTTGTTCTGAAATTAAGAAACACATGAAGAAGATTTAACACAAGAAAATATGAAATACATAATGACTACGCCTGATGAAACTAATGATGTCCGCGTGGTTTTCAACACTCTTCGGGAATTAATTGATTTTCAGCAATAACTTAAATATATCTATTAAAGACAATTCACAAAAATCAATAGTAAATATATATTGTTCCGATATTTATCATTTCTATGGGGTCCACCATTCACTAGAACACCTTATTGAAATATTCAAATGACAAACTAACGTGCAGATATGATTAAAGAAGTGCAACTCACATAGGTACTGATGAAAGATGGGCGTCGCAACTGAAGCTGTCTCACCACCTGAATCAGACTGACTTGCTGGTTAAGGTTGATATTTTCAATAGCATTTGCAACAGTGCAAAATATCCCACATTTTGAAGACCCGTCCCTGAAATATAAACAGAACATTTCCATTACATGTTCAGACGCGAAATTGGGATAATAAATTGTTAAACCAACAGTTTCTTTTGGAATATTACAGATTAATTTTAAATATCATTACCTTGATATTCATAATCTTATATTTAATAATAGACCTAATGATGTATATTGCTTATGGACATCTTTTAGACCATGTCCCTTCAACGTTTTACTTTTTACTTTGGAATTTTACATTTTACATAAACGAAATCTAGAATTGTAACTTTCCAGTTGGTAAAATAATTCACACTAGAACAATGAATCTCATTAATTCGTCTAGATCTTCTCATTATAAAACAAGAGAATCAACATAAAATATTCTTAATCTAATATTTGATAATAATGAATATTAAGTAATTAGGAGAAATTGATAGATCTGAAATAGATCTGAGACTCCGACAAATGAAATAATGTAGGAATTTTTATTTGTTTTTACAAGTATATATTGACTTCCGTGGAACTGAAAAAGCATCAATGAAATACAATAACTATAGAAAATGACCGATCAGCATAACGTTACACAAACCTGCAGACGACAGTAACAGGACCGCCGGAAGTAAAGTTTCTCTGGCATTCATGTACTGCGTACGCAATCTCTGTGACGCACCCCTCGGCACACATTTGCTGATCCTGGGGCCAGTTACAAACTCGGAATATCTTGATTTTGTGTGAAGCATCATCTCCCTGCAAAATATTTTCATAAAATAATAATGTTTTCCTTTTTTAAAAATGATTGATGTAACACACAATCAAACGGTGATTTCATCTCGGCAGATATAACAAAACGCCAATCATGTGGATGCAATCAAAATAAATTTTGCATTAGGTAAAATTTTGATGTTTTATTTGGAAGCATTTCTATAACGATATTTTAACAAATCTTAATCTAAATCTACTTAAGATATTTAGATGAACCCTTAAATGCTATGTAAATGGTAGTCGATGACGGATACGTTTACCAGATTATCGCCCTCCAACCTCACTTACTCCCTATAGGTTTTCTATATTTCTCATTCTAATGTACACTTTTTAACAGACATTGAGCTAAAATGCCATCTTGTATACATTAACACAAAAATATGTTATCAAAAACGAACATAATATAAGTTGGAAAACTTAGCCCAAATTCAATTATATGAATTCGGTACAATTGAACACGTTTAGGTATAAAATACAATTACAGGTGTAACGCCAACCTACCATTTTAGAGAGGCAGACTTCTGTCATCGCTACAGAACTCTCAGTTCGGGAGTTACCAGATATTTGTACAGTAAAATTCCCTGCTGTTATTTCTGATTCTTCCTGTGATGGCATCAGTTTTGGATCCTTTGTAAAAAAATATCAAGAGGTATAGATTTACAAATGAATTTGACAAGATAAAACACATATGAATTGAATTATTTAATATAAATCTTTTGATCTTTAATGCAAGATTTATCATTTTGCTATTATTTTGGAAAACTGCGATGAAACTGAAGCATCGCATGATTATGGTTAGATAGAGCTTGTCAATAACGTTTCATAAATGTGTTATTGTTTGTGTAAGTATAGCTCACACTTCTTTCTACCCCCTCCCCCCAAAAAAGAAATTAGATATAAATATATAATAGATAAAAAATAGGGTGTGCAACGACCAAACAATCGAGCAATGTGTTTAAGCTTATAAAGATATCAATATCACTCTGTTCTTTAATTTAGGAGAGTGGACTACTATACACATTGTTTATTCATCAGAATAGAAAATAGAAACAAAGAAGCCCTTAACTATTACAGACCAAGGTCATCCTATAATGATATCAAATCGAAAGAATTTGTGTAGAAAATAAACAAAGACAGTTCCATTTCTAAATGTTCGATACAATTTTTGATCCACAGCATATCAATAGATATAATATATATTCGATATTATTGTTGAAGTTCACTCAACGGATTTGCTTATCCCCTGGCACCGTCGCTTACGTAAGGAACTGAATTTTATTAATGTTATATATCGTCGTATTTTCGATTGCTTCTTCCACAAATTTGTTTGTTTCATGATTTAAACTTTGCCATATTAGATACATACACAATGTATAACAGCGGAATAATATATCTTTTTTTATTTTTAGATTTCTGAAATTCTGTACGAAAATTTAGATATCAACTGACATTGGTATCAGCATCGCTATCCAGGATAGCAATAGCCATAGATTTGTAGTCGTAAATCATCGTCCAAAAGTCATCAGCAGTGTGCAGGAGGGGCCATTGAGTGACTATATATCCATCATAGCTCTGGAGACTCTGTAATAAATGTATTCGGATATGAACACTAAATATATGACAACAATTAGATTGTTCATATAGAGAAATAAAAATGGTACCATATAATTAATTAATTTTTAAAGAAAACGATTCAAATCAGATCTTCAGAATCAGCTGATGTTGCTATTGGTTCGTCTCGCAAATTGAGTGATTACATATTTTATTACGTAACTTTTAGCTTTTTAATTTTAGGAAATATTTAGATATAATTTTTACCGGAACGAACACTGCATTGATGTAGTCGGTCTTGCTTGCAGGTTGTGATGATAAAATAGGACGATACGAACGACCTGTAATCAGAGTTGTTTTGATTAAATAGGTAAATATTGATAGCTATGGGTTCATTTCAAGTGTTAATTATCTAGTATATAATACCAGCTTAAGAAAATTAACATACCATAATGTAGATATTTTCTGTAAGTTTTTTTTTTCAATTATTTTGGTTTAATTTCACTTTCAGATATATTGATCGCGTCTTGTCTTTACGTAACAAGACATTTATTGACCACGAACATCATATAAACCCACCAGAATATGGAAATCAGAGACACTACATACTCTTCTACAACAGCTGCTTATTTCAATTTTTTCCTTCACCGAAACCAACATGGACAGATTTCCATCAAGCTGTATGATAAACGTGATGATTTCAAATTCCGTATTGTGAATTTTCCATTTATGGCTAGCTATATCCTAGCATCTCTTGATATTCAAAGGTCTGTTCCCATTGTCACGATATTCAAATGACGGACAAGCTGGTAACGCAGGGTTTCAAAATATTCAGGATGAAAATTATACGGTCGTCATAGTGATTACATTGAGAAATATTCTATTTTGTGCGATATGAAGCTAGACGTTTTGATGCTCGTTAGTTTGCCCGTTGGTTCCGTTGTTATAAACCTTCTTCTCATTTCAGAAAATGACATTAACTTACTTGGACCGACCAAGATTTACATGGAGGTTGAAGCGGAAGATTTTTACTCTTCCAGAACATTCGGTCTCACTCTCCTTTTACTTTCTCAGGAGGAGTCTCCCTGTATATCTTGTTTTTGTACATATTCTGACGTAGTTTATGGAATTTGAGTTTAGATTATGATTATGGTTACATGTTGGTATTTTCTTGATGTTAATTGGTAACCAAGCTTTGCGAGAATACATTGAAAAAATATACACGTAAGTTCTAGTTTATTTGCAACCATTGAATTGTGTAAAATGAAAACGATATTTTCAAGTGGCATTTTCCAGAGTCGAAATGGACTTATCTTTAACAAGAGCAACAAGGGCTTTGAGCAAGTAAGGCAAAAGCAAAAGGATCCGAAGTGGAAACTATGTTTTCTGCAAGAAATTAACCAACTCACATGGCAATATTTTTGGGTCTCTGTTTTTTTCCTTGTTTTTTGGAATCATGCATCCTGATAATTGATTTTTGGGTATGGTTGGACGTTTTCCATTCAGCTTCTGATAACAACAAAATATTTGTAGACAACATGCTAATATTGCAGTTCAAGTACTAATGCAACGATTTAAAAAAAAAAAAATAAACTGTAACTGTGTTGTCACTCATCAAATCCTAAACGACAAAAATTTTTGAGAAAAGTGATTTCAACAAGAAATGTCAAGTTATTAAAGACATTTGAATAAGCAATTCGAACCCTATCTAATTGCCTGATTTATTAGCAATAAATGATTGAATTTTTCCTTCCAAAATCTTATTTTCTAAAACAATTTTTTAAAATTTAAAAACAAATTATGAATGTTTTTTAACGATTCGATCACAATTCACCTTATCATCTCAAAAGTGATGATTTCTGTTTTTTATTTTTTTCATTTTTACATAGTTCTTAGCTTTTCAGTCAAGCATCAAATAACATTATATTTTGCAACATAATTTCATTCTGTACAGATTTCTTCTACAATGGATTAATTTGTCATTCCTTACATCAAAAACTGCCAGTAGGTGTATTTATATTAGGTGTACAAATACAAAAATATCAACCTCATATTCCTGGAGAAGACGTGGGGATTTAAGGCATTTCGAATCGAAGTCGGTCATAGTTAGAGTTGTGTTGTCAATGAGAAAGAGCTCCACCAATGCTTGGTATATAAAAACGTACTGGAGCTATATTTGTACACAAAAAAATCGCATTTCAAAACACACCGAGTGATAGCATATCACATAAATTTGGCATACCGAACTAAAATTTGACAAGAAACATTTATTGGTACCTTATTGGTACTTTATTGGTAATATGACATATAATTTGTATATTTCAATTTATCATTTGATAGACTATTTTAGTTAAGGAACTTTTTCATTTATAATTACTTGAAAATACAAAGATTTCAAGGTGATTCGACGGGATATGACAGAAATATTCAGTATACATTGAATACTTGATTTACTTTGTATGCGTAGATATGTATCAATAGCCATTAACTGGCAGTTAATAAAACTGACGTAATAAAAACATATTTTTCAAAAAATCGAGAACTACTTAAAAAATAACATTTATAACTTTCCTCATTACCTTTGTCTGCACCATATCCATCCTGTCTCGCCGCATGCTCTGTATGTAAGCAGGAGGATCCACCCTTCCCGTAGTTTTTCCGTGTCGGAACAACACATCCAGCGCAATGAACGTCCCTGTACGCCCTACACCAGCACTGAATCATAGAAGCGATAAAGTCGGTTTTAGTGTATGATGGGTACCACCTGAACTGAACTCAATGAAAATTGGCAGAAACCTTCCATGGCCAAATGTTAATAAATTGTAAATTACATGGTCCCAATCCCCCATGGGCCTAAAGTACGGGGCCAAAAATGTTGAAATTGAATTAATTTTTTTAAAATCTTCTTCTCAATACCTAAGTACGGTAGAATCAAATACTCTTCATGGATTGGAGTTTCTACCGAAAGAGTAAATTTCATGACCGCCATGGTCTCACATTTTTATATTTTCTATTGGAAATAGGTCAAACTTGACTAGAATTGTTAGTTAGTATTGATGTTATGCACATATTGACCTGGCTTATCCCGGAGGGACTGATGAGCGTGGCCAAAATGTGTCATATTGAATAACATTTTGAAACGTTTCATCTCAATACCCAAATATGGCAGAATCAAATTCTCTTCATGAATGTAAGGGTGTTAGGGTGCTTTTATCTTGATGACCCGCAGGGGCTGATGGGCGTGTACAAAAAAAGATCAAACTGACTGAAATTTCTAAATTCTTCTCAATACCCAGATATTGTAGAATCAAATAATTTTCATGGATGGAAAATCTGCAAGTTAAACTTCGTCCCTATACAAATACCATTCCTCATTTTCTCTACTCTATACTACATATTCAGTCCTATGGTTTCAATTTGTGAGTAATTCAGGTGACCGTTTAGGCTACCTGCAATGGACAACCATTGGTCCACACAATTTTGAATCGACGGATTGCACATCTTGTAAAAGAAGAGCAAAACGTATGACGTCAGGTGTTCCGTGGTCTGGCCATTTCGTGAAATGGAACTGGGTGATCACTCTCCTCTCATCTGCCTGTAATTAACCACAAATACTTTAGGTAAGGCCTGCATAATAATGTTAATACCTCTTGTTTTGTTTATTTATAAATAATTAACTTTCACACAAACTAATGAGTTTCCCATGCAATTAGTTTTGATTAGCTATAGCTATCCAAACTGAAATTTGCAATATTATGTAGAGTATTTTACAAGTCAGTCTCACGTCTTTTCAGCAAATGTGCCTGTTATGAGGCAACGTCATTATTTTGCAAAAGACGGCGAATAATTGAATAATTGCAAGTAGAAGTTGAACTTCCGAGCTTTCTTAGTTCATATTGATAAATAACCAGAAAATGTCTGGCAGAGGGGTTCTTATTCACACCACATGTTTATTTCAAAAGTTATAAAATGTTACTTTCGGCTATTTAACCTTGACGGATGCAAATGATCATATTAATTTTGTTTTATCAGAAGTATGAATTTTATCACAGAACATTTCTCTTGATGCTGTATCATCAAATCATATTCCATGAAAACGTACTCTTAGCAATTAAACAAGAGAAGCAATGTTTGACTTTTATTTCAACATAAAACTTACATTTTCGTTTTCCAGGCTGAATTTTCGAACTGTATATGCTTCACATTGCGTGGAAGATATGCAGCTTATATTCATGCTACCGTGTTGAATCGAAGAACCACTGTCAGGCCAGTATTTTTCAACTTTGAACTGGAATGATCAGAGAAATACAGGTTCTTATTGAAACTTTCAGAGCTTCTGCATTTCGCAGGCTTTGATAGCAATGAATATCCAGTATCTATAGACTCATAATACTTACAGAAGACTCCCGTTCTGGAAAAATATTATAAGGTTTCATCTTTTTGCTTTACGTATGATATTAATCATTTAGTTTAGCAGACTGTCAAAGGACTTTCCTTTTATATTCACTGTTTTAAAGAAAATTAGCATTAGTAGCAATAATTTAAAATTGTCATGGTGTCCGCAAATCTGTATTAATAATAATTAATGATAATTGATGGCGAATGAAATTTGCAAGATTAATAGTCTGTTTAAATTGTAGTTAGCAGTATGAGTATACCAACTATTTTTGAATGAGATAAAATAATCTAAGAGCATCACCAACCTTTCCTAGTTCAACGCATTTCGCAAGCATCACTATTTTTCCAGTCTTTAGCTGCCATATCATTCGCCAGAAGTCGTGAAGCGTACTGGCTTTCGGACCTATGATGATGTGAGCAACAATTAGATCAATTTCATCTCTAAACATCGTGATTTGCTTAGTATATGTTACAATACAATTAAGAAGCGTTTTTAATAATAAAAAAGTTTTTGTAAAAGGAATGAATCATTTTTTTCTATCAGCTTTTGATAACTATTCAAGCAATAGTACATACCTTGTGTTGCCACATACGCGTTTGTGCCCTCCAGATCCTAAAAAATGGCATTAAATATTTGAAAAAGAAACTTTATAACTTCTAGTTTGAATTATTTTCTTGGAATCACCAGATAAAAGAAAGATATTGCAAGTGCATCTCCCATCTTTCCAATGCTAATTTCCCTCAGTCGTCTCGTGGATTTCAAATTTTAGGCCCTTAGATAATAGTTGTATGATGTAGTTTAATTCAATATTTGGCCCTACTTTGTCGTACTCCAACTTTGAAATTGAAGGTGTTAAAACAAGAGTCGATCAATATTCCCATATTTATCTTTTAGGTTCAGATGACGTACACACATCTAAATGAGATGAATTATGCTTGTAATTATATTAAATTTCATCAATCGATCGGTGATATGACATTAATCATTAGCCTATTGATATATGACACAGTTTTTGCACCACTTTGAAAGATGACAATAAAATTGAAAAAGACACAAAGTGATTCAGGAACAAATGAATAGTTACATGGGTAAGTCGAACAGTCACACAAATTCATACATAACAAAATGTCGGTTGAATGAATTTCTCACCTTGATAAAGTTAGCATTAATGTAATCTTGGTTTCCATCCAATATCACCCTGGAATGATCGTCTGAAAATCAAGTATTCTTAATTGTGTATAAATGGTTATACGATCAATTTTATTTTGCCTCTTCTCTTCAAGGCTCTATGAACCCCTAAACCTGTAACGTTTTGTAATAAATTAATTTCAAATTTTAAAAATGTCATTCTTTTCTTTGTTTGTTATTATAAAGTGAATTTCTTGAACAAATAATGTTTCGTTTGATAACAAAATAAGAAATACATGTAGCTTTACGAAAGCAACATTGAGAGATATTTCAATGACAAAAGTTTTTCTTATAAAACGTACATGGAAATGTAGTCTTGTATCGATTTCTGCTTTTGTTTTCAGCCTTTAAAGCCTCTTCACAAGGGAACTGGCTTCCGGACAGAAACTCCTTCAAAAGCACATAAGACAATCGTGAAGACAGAGATAATGTCTTAATTGCATTACTAAATTTAATTGTTTTTCTTCTATTGTGAATACTGTGCATTTTAACATAAATGTATTTTAAAATTTAGACCTTTAACACAGCGCGTATGGTTATAAATCTCTTAGTTTTTTGCGAGTGATCCATTCGTGAAATAGAAAAGTGAACATGTCATATATTTCATTATATTGAATTTCTCAGAAAAACAAAAAATGTGTAACCTTTCAGTTAAACTATGAACGAGTCCTATATACCTTAAAATCTTTGATAAACTCATCGCATTCTTCTTTTCTAACGATTTCTTGGGGAAGATTTTCTTTCAGCACTCCATTCTGTTGTTGGTCATTTCGACTGATATTTCCGACGTTTTCATACGTCATCTGATCTATATGGTTTGTTTCCTCGTCAATATGTGTGTCTGCTGCCATATTTTCATAAAGGGCACCTGTTCATGCATGATTGGACATATCGTGGATTCTATCATAATGCGAGCTATAATTTATAAATTTGCACATTTCGAATAACCAGACTTTTAATTCATCAGTGATTTACATGTCATATCTTTTCCCCGCATGCGGATAGTCAATGTTTTAAAGAAAATAATGATAATGACTATCTGAATTGGGAACTGATCAGCTGTCTTTAATGATCAATAGGTATTTCGACAATTCTTATTGTTAACAACAGATAATATATCAAATTGTTCACATATAGAACACTTACTCTAACTGATCAAATAAGACTGCACTTAATTCCTGTATAACTGCTAAATGTACCATGAATGAAACAGTGGGAAATATTCAGAAAAAAACACACACATACAAAAAGCAAAACAAAAGCAATATTTAAAAAAAACAAAAAACAAAAAAAACAAAAAACAAACAAAAGAATTATACAAGGACCGATCACTTTCAATATATTACATGCATGCTAATGAGACGGACGAAGTGAGATTAATTAGTCGATGGATGAATTTTATCTTTATAACAAAGAGGACATTTCAACAGTGCTTTTGGTGCGATTTGCAATGCTACATAAGAAATGTCGTTACAACAATATATCTGTTTTGAAACATGACGTTGGATTCATTAATACATGCTTGAAGTTTGACATCAGATAGCAAAATTGTTAATCAAGTTACGATGAAAATCGCACACAATTTGACCAGTATATTTATCAGGTTTACTAAACAAACAGGACCGTAGGGATTTGATTTTTGTAATTTTACAGTATCATTCAAAGTTATACAGGTGAATAATAAATGCAATTTTGTTGTTCGAATCAATTGTAAGAGGAAAAAACGTGTTCTTACCTATTTCATTTTGTTTATCATCATCATATTGTGGAGAAGAGTATGGCATTTGGCGCCCCCTTGAAATATAGTAAGGAGATCATGTAAATCCATTCATTCCTTGAAGATATTTTAATGTAGTTTAATAATGTAGATAAATATTTCGATTATTATACATAAAAGACAAAAACTTTATTTTATAAGACAAAATCGCTCGTGATAGAAATAAAAATGTCCATCCAGAACATAATCAATTCTTTACACAATTCATAACAACCAGTAAACTTATGCTTAAAGAGAAGAACGTTTACCTTCTCTTCTTAACCACGACAATCACAATTGTTACGATAGCAATCGCTACAATGACAGCGGTAATAGCAGCAATGACAAATCCAGATGATGAAGTCGGTGGGCTAAGCGCTACAATTGAAGCCGGAACAAATCAGATTAAAGAATATGGTAATAAACTATATGATTACAACGAGTCGACTGCTACCAGATATATTTCTACATGACATCTAGTATATAACTAGCTTTGGACACGATTGGGACAATTAGCATGTTTTCACCATGGAAGGGAATAAATATTGCTTCTACCATACAAGTCTGATATGGTTTAAAATGCATTTGAAACATATGTTGAGAGTAGAATGCCATTGCAATAAAGTTCAGAGAACACTATTAACACTACTCATTATCATGAGATGACCACAAAAGGCTGATTTTTTATACGGAGGTAAAATATATGTTGAACATCTCTTGTGTCAGAATACTTACCATTATGTTTTATTACGCATTGAACACCTGCCCATCCTTGAAGACATCCTTCGGTACAATTTCCAGACACGGAATCACACGAGAGGTTAAAACATCGTCCACAAATTTGACTACAGTCCGATCCGTATTCATTGTAACTGCAGTCTGAGGAATTTATATTCAATGCATTCAACATTGTTTAATATCATATTTAACACAACATTTTCAACTTGAGGAATTTATATTCAGTACACTCAACATTATTCAATATCACATTTAACACTAATTTGGATATGTTCTTTATATTCAACACTATATGAACGGCAGACTTGAAATTTCACCGCATTGTAGTCAATCAGTCTTAAACGAGTCTTCTACCCAATTCGCTGCATGGAAACTTTTGACGAATGTTTCATTACAGTTTTTGAACAACCCTGACGCAATAAAACCCAAATACTATGCATTGTGCATGTGTAACCGTACTATGTTACACCCATATATTTGCTGTCCTTTTATCACAAAGTCAAAGCACTTTCACTGCAATAGGCCCTTCGCATCATTGACTAGTCCTAGAAGGACAAAACACCTGTCTGATACAGTTTAATTCATTGTTTAGCTCTACTCTACCTAAATTTACAATAGTAGGTTATTAACGTTTTTCTTTGGTTAAAATCCTTTAAAAACAGACTATGCGAGAGAGACTTTCATGGTTTCTTTTCCTCTTTGAAATCCATATTCCATTCCATCCCTTTTATTTCAGAGTACTTTGTTGTCATGACTTCGCTGACAAGAGTAATTTGGCAACACGCATAGCCTATGGAAGCTCTCTTTTTGCTATTATAAACAAATACACACATCTGTCAAGTAACGAATTGATACAGTGATGAATATTGAAATTTTAGTGGAACTCACTCAATGACTGGGGCAAGCCCCCGTCCGAAAGTCATTTTGCATGTAATGCAGCAAAGGCATATTGTCCATACATATTTAACCTCCTTTGCTGAATCCGTACAGATAACAAGCTGAGAAAGACCTGACACAACAATGTATGAACGAGATATTTACTTAAACAGATATCTGGTATCAGTAATGAATCTCTGAATCAACTCAAGAAAGGAATAATTCGTAACTGCATCTGTCTCATGGCAACCATTTATAAATGTTTGAATGCTTAGAGGAGTACGATCTCTCAGGTTGAAAAGCGAGAAAAAAAAGTAGTTGTCTTTGGTTAGTGAAATAGTACAATGAAGAAAGGAAACAACTCTGATCAGTTCTTTATCTTGGTCTGAATATCCTTTTTATTAAGAATAATAGTCATTAGATATAAGAAAAATGTGCTTTATGTGCACTTGCTCCCTCGCTGAAGTGGAAAAGGGCTGACATTTATATCGTGGAAATTCTAACCCAAAGCCCTTTTATATGAGAGAAAGTCCATGTAATGCACATTTAATATCATAAGACATAGTAAACTGAAATGCTGGTAAACTGTTAATGATCTTCTTATAACCGTTACCTTAATGTATCAAAAAAAAAAAACAAAAAAAAAACAGAGTTGTCTCCCATGATTTAAAATTGATCAGTCTGTCAACACCAAATTTATTATTATATGTATGTAATGTATGGTTTGTATGCATGTATGTATGTAGGTATGTATGTCAGACCACCATGTTGTCTTGGGAGAAGACTTATTATATGTTCTAGCTTGCTGTCTAATTATATTGATTGTTTATATCAATAAACTATTCGGAAATGAAATGAAGAAAGGAGTGAGAACAATCTTCAACCAGATAAAATAACTCAACTGACATAAAATTAAATTAATTTTCCTGAGTTCATTAAATGTGGAAAAGAAGTGCACTGGTGTTCGGCGTCAACAACGAGTTGAGATCTTTGATTATTGCGCTAATAGTCAACATTGTGAGAGACAGATAAGATGGATTATTCCATTAAGATATGATTTTTTGGGATAAGCTGGTAATATTTGAGTTCTTGATAGTTGAACATTAAAATGTCTATTATGATGAAGAGGATATTGATCTGAATCATTATTGGTGTAAAATTGAATTGAATTATGAACATGAGCAAGGCACATATTGTTATTAATCTTAAAAAAATTATTTTGATGGAGATGACGACATTCTACATGTGGAATTAAAACAGATTATTTGTATAAGATATGGTGACATGTTCCCCGTCTCAAGCCGAAAATAGTGCGTGTTGCCTCAAGTTGGATTGACTCACGGATATTATTCTCTCGTTTGATACAATTTGCCCACACTGGACGAATGAAGATGATGTAAATTATTTCATTTCTTATTATAGATTGTAAGCCCTAAATCTAGATAAATTGATATTACATTTTATCTTGATTTGCCTTTGTTTTATGAGTAATCACTTCTCACAGACCGGCAACTCACAGTTGACATTGTTTTTCTAAATGATGTATAATGGTGTTACTTAGGTACATATAAATTGCTCCTTGTCTAAATTTGATAAATTGTTGCACATGTTCAATAATTCCTTGTGACTGAAATAGTCTGTACCTGTTTTGCACTTTTCCCCTTTCTTTCCTGGATCACAAACATAGTCATTATTATCTTGGGGGCAAGTTCCGTGAATGTGATGACAATTCCTTTCTTCGGCACAGTTACCGCACTTCTCCTTGCAGGCCTCTCCGTACCACCCTATCGAACATCCTGCATCATAGTTGTACAGATAATTACACAACATTTATAAAAAATAGTTACATAGTAGAAAATGGTACCTTGTAAATGACAACGAGGCATTTGGTGAGATGGCAATATTTGGTTTTTAACAAAGCAATCAAATTGCTGACCTTCAAACAACAATGAATATTTAAAAAATGATTATATGAGGAGACATTATTTAAATATCTCAATTTGTAATAAAACAAAGACAGATTTCAAAAGACAATACGAATACAATGTGCAATAACGGGCTCTTAGGACTAAACTTTTCATATCCAGGATGTGTGCGTTGTTTTTAAGTATAACTGGTGGTTCCGTTGTGTTTACATTTTTTGTATTTGAAAATGGCACACAACTTATACAAATTTATCAACATTTACATTCACTTTACACTTCCGGAACACCTGGTTTTATTCTCTGTGTACGTTTTTAAGGGGTGTTATTTTTTCTTTTGTTTATATTTGCCCTCTTTAGACTAAATTTGTGTTTGAATTATGATGCAATCAGCACGTCGGTATTTTTATGTTTTGTGACAACAAAAGACAATATGAACAGACGATTTCTTAGGTGATAGTAGCAAGGAAGAAATACTACTGATAAGAAACTTTGTAACAATGAAGAGTTTTCCTCCGTTAATTACCTTGATCAGGTAGATCAAATTCAAATATAGTGTGAAATGGAATGGCCACGAAGAAACCATCAATATTAACAAGAAACGAACATGATACATGTCATACAAGTTAATAGCTTTTTCATCATCACATATACAAGCATTATAAATTCTATTTCTATTCCGGAAGAAGATATGTTGAGACCTGATAGCATTATGCTGCAATATTTTACAAAAGAAGTGAACCTACTCTCTTTACAGAAAGATCCATTCCAACCAGGACTACAGCCGTCCTCACAAGTTCCATCAGTTCTGTTGCATGTCTGATCGTTCTTACATTTTCCACACGGCTCTGCACAGTTTATTCCATAGTGTCCAGGTTCACAGGCTAAAACAGGAAGGATTTATGATGCTGACGTCAAAACCAGCTTAAATATTAACAATCAATTTCTTATATCGCTTACTCCAATTTTATTTTTTGCTATCGCAACACTGAAATATTGTTTGATAATATCAGAAAATGGATAAAACATAAATTGAATAGTTTTATTGTAAAATTAAATATTCTCGTCGGACTCCATTTCAGGGGTTGTCCAAACTTTTAGTTTTTGGCACTTTGTGTTATGGATTCTTGTATACACCAAGTACAATCAGTTTTTTACTAACGAGTTAGCATAGCATGTAGTCATGGATTACGATTACAAAAACAAATAAAGATAAATGAAAAAAGTAAAAATAAATAGATAAATGAAAAAAGTAAAAATAAATAGATAAATGAATAAGTAAAAATAAATAGATAAATAGATAAACAAAATGAAACTGTTCCATTACATGTATAATCACTCACGTCAACTGGTGAAAATCGTACAATCGATTGTAATTTGTAAGTAAACGTATCAAAAGTAATTACCACTCTTGCACGTTGGTTTTTGCCAACCCGCCAAACATCCATCTGGACACGATCCGTTCGTCTTAGTACATGTATGTGAGCCATTCAGACAGTTACCACAATGTTGTGTGCAGTTTCGGCCATATGTACCAGCTGTACAATCTGAAAAGACATGAAGTTAGAATTATTACAAGTATGAATGTTTGTAATGATATAATTGCATTAACCAATATATTTTTAGTCTTATCCGCCAGTACGTATACACTGTTTCACACAAAATTAATCCTTCTATGATTAACAGATTTTTTCACTACCATGATTATCACCGTGAGTTTTTAGAACCATTTCGTGTAACATCTATGATAATAAATTAATTGTATCAGATTACGGTGCATAAATACATACGTATATACAAAAATACATACATACATACATACATACATACATACATACATACATACATACATACAATCACACAAACATACAATCACACATACAAACCCTACATAACATACATACAATCATAGATTTAATTTTGACAGACTTATCAGTTTTAAATTATGGGAGACAACTCTGTTATTTTTTATACTTTAATCTTATGTTTATAAGAAGATGATTAACAATCCACCAACTTTTCAGTTTACTATGTCTAATCAAGTACACATAAAGCACATTTTTCTTACAACAAAGGACTATTATTCTAAATAAAAGGGGTATTCAGACCAAGATAAAGAATATAGATATTAAACAATGGACATTAAAACCTTTCTGTATCATCAATATACTTAACTACAGCACCAAACAATGATTTAGCGATGTGGATGGTACAGATTGGGCAACCATGCAAGACATAGTTTAGTTCCTAGTGGTTATGATTATGGTTATTTAGGGTTTGTAATAAACTTTGTCTAGGATTAATATATTAAGGTCAGTCAAAAAGAAATGTTGAGCTCTTTCATTTGGGGTACCACATGCACAAGATGGGTTATCATTAAGATGGTCTTTATGCAGATCATCACTTAGAGAGTTGGCTGAATTCCTTAGTTGACAGAGAATGATATTTAATTTTATTGGTCCTACTTCTCTTCTGAGTTTTTTTTCAAAGTGCCTTACAGAGTGAATATTAATCATGAGATTACTTATTTGATTAAATTCAGATATCATGTTTGGAAGGAAACTATCCATATAGCTTACAGTTCGACAAATAGGTTCATTAAACATTCTATTATTTCGAAGTTGATACCTTGACTCTTCAAAATTGTTAAAATATGGTTGGATAATATCAAATAAGTATTCAGGTGTTTCTTTATTTAGGATTTTGTACATTAATATCATTTTGTGTTTTTTCCTTATGTAATCTAAGGACATTCAATCCAGCTCTGAATAAAATTTTTCATTTGAGGTACCTCTGCGTAGCCCAGTTATTGACCTTGCAGCCTCAAGATTTATAGATTCTAGTTTTCTACCTTTAGCGTAGACTGGACAGTTATCCCAGACAACATCAGCATTCTCTATAATTGGCCTTATATGGGATATATATAGTATTGAAAGGGATTTTCTCATTTATTGTTTTTAGAAATCTCAGAATATTCCTTTTTTATTTGCTTTTTTAATATATAAAATCTGTGTGCTTATTCCATTTTCTATCACTACTGAATACTAAACCAAGATGTTTGTGGTCGGAAGAGGTTGTTAAGAGTTGATTGTTGAAATAAATATCTGGATGGTTTGGTATGATTTTCTTTGAAAATATTATTGATTCTGTTTTAGATGGATTAAACGGAATATCCCATTTTTAGCCCAATCTTTTATAGAATTTAAATCATTTCCAAGAGACTCAGCCACTTCAACTTTGAACGTTAACACAGTCAGTGATATCATTTATGTACAGTAAAAAGAGAAAAGGTCCTAGAACTGAACCCTGGGGGACTCATGCATTAACAGAATTAAAGGTTGAGGCAAAGCCTTCAATCACTAAATGTTGTTTTATATTAGATAGACAAGTTTGTAGCCACCTTAAAACATTACCTTTAATTTCATAAGATTCAAGCTTATATAATAAACCCTCATGCCAGACTATCAAATGCCTTGCTTATATCACAAAATACAAATCTCAACTCTTTATCATCATCTTAACTACTAATTATAATGTGATATATGGAAAGCATTTGGATATAGTTGAATCTTTAGGCATAAATCCTGACTGATGTTTTGATATAATTTCAGATAAAGAAAGATGGTTGAAGAAATATTTAAATATGATCTTTTCTAACATCTTACTAAAACATGAGGTCACTGAAATAGGCCTGTAACTGGTTACATCATTGTCTATCCCCTTTCCTTTGTAGATAGCAGTGACGTTAGAATATTTCCAACTGGAAGGTATAATGCCTGTCTCAAGAGTTTTATTAAAAAGTATAGTGAGAGGTAATGAGATAGAAGGAGCAAGCATTTTAATTATTTTGATATGATATGGTAGTCGCTTACTTAGGTCACATTTGTTGCCCCTTTTACCAGGAACGCAGCCGTTTAAACACGTGCCATTGATGTGGTGACATGGTTCCCCATCTAAGCAGCTACCACAGTCATGTGTGCAATTCCTGCCGTAACTCCCTGGATCACAAACTGAAAATAATATCATTCTTGCTGTAACTATTACTATAACAATGTGTGGAAACATATCAGTTACATTTACCCACTAAAAAATAAAAACTATGATTATGTAAGAAATATGTAAATATAAGCATTGAACTGCTTTCACTTGGCATTCAATAGAAGCCAGCTGGACACAGGCAAATTCATTGCGCTTCATATATTTGTGTTTGACCAGTTGGCATTCATAAGTCACTAAAGACCAACTGAATGCAATGATTAATCAATAATAATGTGTAGACAATGAAATATATTGATTTCTGAGGGCCTTGAAAATCGGCTTTAGAAATAGTTCATCATCACATTTCATGAATTTCAGATAAAAAAAAAACACATCTTGCATACACATGATAATATACGATTTATGACAAAGTCCGATTCCCGACATTTTGATCGATTGCTGAATTAACTTGCGAGGGAAAATACAAATGCAAAATATTTACATACACAAAGAAAATGTAATACGGCTTCAACGTCAGACATAAGCCCATCATTTATTTTTTGACGTTTTGACAAAACGTCGAAACAGGCGAAAATTAACTTGTTTCAAAGTATTCCCGAACACATCATCCGAAATTACATATAGAAAATATCGTCAACGACTTTCGTGTATGTGTTTTTATCAAATGAACTGAAAAGTAACAGCCTTCCTTGAATCGTACAAATCAATGGTTATTCAAAGCTTGATAATTTTTATTCGATTGATTGATTCGATGATGTTATGCAGCCTATTGAACTACACGGACAATATCTGGCCTAGAAGAGAAATTTAGCTGTAATACTTACATTACTAACTAACGCTTACTAAATGTAATAGCTATGCATGTTAAAGAGTGACTCTTTACTGAAAACCGGTCATCCCGAACGAATTTGTTTTGCAGCCCCTTGATTTGAAATCTAGCAGCAATGGAGAACATCGATTATCCGATACACCTGGTTAGTATGGTAGTTAGTAGCCACCAAGTGTGGACGTCGGGTTGTTAGGTTATGTATTTATATAAATCAAGTTTTTGATTGAGATTCATTACAAATTTGATTTTAACATGTTAAGTTAACAGTTGACCAGTTCAGAAATGAAACAAAGTACGATATATCAATGAATGTTTAACTTATCAAAATTGATGCTTCCTTTCACCACATATATTATGTTTATATAGATATAGATTTTGTATGATTTTGCTAATATCTGCATACTCTGTTACAGTACCTGATTTAGAGGTTGAAATACATATCAGTCATACATCAATTTATCTATTCATTCATTTGTGTGAATCTACAGAATGCATCACGTGAAATATGCCAGACATAATCATGCCATGCAGTCGTGATTGCATCGATGTTTTTCTTTTCATTTTATAAAACTAATTCTGATAATTTACACCTTTTTTAAATATCCTTCCCCTCCCAAAAATACCGAAACCCATCCTAAAGTCTTATACGACATTACCTTCAATGCACTGGCTTGGCTTGAATCCGGGTTTACAACCACTTGTACATGACCCATTTCTGTAGTCACATGTCTTTGTTCCTGTATAACATTCTCCACAGTTGTTTTCACAGTTGTCACCAAATGTTCCACCTTCACACTCTATAATATACCATTATAAATCAACTCAAACATGTAAAGATTCAGTTTACATCCAAACTAATCAATAAAGTAATTATATTTTGACTTATTGAATTGTGATATGAATACACTAGAACCCATGAAACAGCAAAAAGAAAACAAATTAAGTGCCTTTAAGTAACAAGAGTGCCGTGGACACTATATACGCCGCCACAAAATATAAAGGTCAAGATTGGTCCTTTTAATCATCGCTTTTAACATGTATGTATACATAAGTGCAAAATGAAGTCTGTGAGACCAGTTAGCTTAGCTGGAAGAGACAGGGACCTGAGCAAGTTTCATGAAAATCTGATCATTAGTTTATGAGGAGTTACATTCACAAGGCTCCACAATGAGCAAGATACAGACACAAAGTTCAAAATGGCATAAATCTTACAAAAATCAATGAACAGTAAAATTACCCCTTCATGCACATCGAACCATTGTATTAGTGACATTGAGCAAGTTTTATGAAAATCTTATCATTAATTTAGAAGGAGTTGCGTTCACAAAGCTCCACTAAGATCAAGCTACAGATACAAAGTTGAAAATGGCATAAATCTTACAAAAAACCAGAACCGAAAAATCAGAGAAAAATCGAGGAGTTGCGTTCAAAAGAAATGGACGTACGGACGGCCAGACGGAGAAGATGACGCCAATATACCACCGCCTCCAGCGGCGTATAAAAACGATTTGTTGTGAAGTCTATTACCCAGTTAATACCTATTATTTTGAAATACAGATTATCATTGTAGTAACTGGTGTTACAAAGAACAATTTGGGTAAGACGGACCCCTTATACAAAGCCACATTCACAAAAGCACAGTTTGACTCATTCCGTATTCCTGAAAAATACAAACCATCTCCAGTAGGGATCGCCTAACTGATTTTCATCAGGGATTAGAAATTTAAATTCTCAGGCTATTTAACTGCTGCAACTTCCAGTTAATTATAAAATCATTTTGAGATATACGATGAGGGTTTCGAAAGGGAAGACAAACAAATATATTGATATTAAGAAAAAAACGCTATCAAAGAGGGAAACGTTATCATTGTGAATTCTAAACTGTCATTTTGATCATGTAGATTAGCAACAAGATGCTCTGATTAAAAAAAGTATTACCTTTCTAATTTCTCGCAAAAAGAGGAGGAAGTTCGCCTCCGTAATTTGATATTACTTTTAATTTCGTTTGGTGGATTTAATACCTTTGACATTTTGAAATGTAACTGCAACATTTAAAGTAGGCCAAGGTCTTTCTTTTGAGCAAACATATCAACCAGTCAACTCAGCATGCTACAGGCTCAGTTCATTAGTCATTTTCATTATTAAAAGGGAAAAGCTGACGTCGGACGACGGACAAGCAACGCACAACTGAGTCTGAGGGTACTGGGCTAAATAACCTAAACTGTTATCTGCCTCTGCTTCCCTTATTTCAACCATCACTCTCTTCTATGTTTGAAGTCCATGCAATAGCCAATACAGGATTTTGTCAATATTGTGCTTTGAAAGGTTTATATAAGTTGATATCCTTAACCTTTAACGAGCGAAAGAAAGTAAAGGCATTGCCAGTACATCAATACGACTAATGAAATATATATGATTGTTAGAAAGGTGTATTTGTAGTGTCATAAAATTTCTCTAATGTGCAAATATCTTTAAGCTTCGTAATATTTTTTTTCTTTTTCTTCATTATACTTCGAATAGAAAATATCAATGTAAAATATTGAAACCAGCTGATAATCGAAGGGGTAGTAGGAATTGAAACAGAATCAGATACGTAATATCTTAAAGGGAGAAAAAAATCCAATAAATCGCGTGCTTTTTATACTACCTTTCAAGTTTAAGGGAAAATCCTTCTGATAAACCTATCCTAATTATCGTAATTGCTGATATCATTGATGAAACATTGTTAAGTAGGTGATTATTGAGTAGAAAATAATGGCAGTCACATATTTTCTATAGTTACTCGTGCTGCAGGTTGATCCGTTGTATCCAGGCGAACATCCTCCGCTGGGACATATGCCATTTGTGACATTACAAGGTCCTCTCTTACAATGGCATTCGCTTACACAATTATTACCGTAGAAATAATTGTCACAAGCTGAAACGTAGAAAATATTGATAAATTATCAAATTAGTACACAGTAAAATGGAAAGAAATGGTCACGAAAATGAAAAAAGAATGATTTTGAAATAATTATATGAGCAGTTACAATGTAAAATCATGTATACATAATTAAAAAAGATTCATAATGACAAATCGTTGATAAATCTAAAGTTGATATTTCAACACAAAGTCATCTTAAAAAGAACAAAAACATGTGATGTCGTCAGCGTTTGACGAACATAGAACATATGCATTTTGAAAAAAAAATTGTTTTTAGTTGTTTGTTTTATTGATTATGTTTTCTGTTTCAAGTTGATTAGGGATGTCCTCGATATATTACCGCATGAACGAAATGAAAGGACTTTTTATGAATAAAAATTAAAAAATGATAGTGGATACTCACGGATTTCACATGTACTGTCTTTGTAACCAGGTTGACAACCTTGCATACAATCGCCATTTGCTGGGAAACACAGACGATTGATACAGTTAACTGAACAATTTTCTGTACAGTTAGCACCGTGTTTGTATAGTGGACAACCTGTGCGGCATCAAAGTAATAATGAATGTTTTTACTTATATCCATCTTCAATGTATGTATAATATTATCAAAAATTCTTTTCAGGTAAACGAGCAAAAATCAAAAGACATTCCATAAATTAAAATATTATATACATGTACAAAGCATCTTTTAGTAATATCGCTGGACACGCACCTGTTAATATCGGAATGGATTGCTTACAACATGTCAACGTCACAAATAACAAGAAATTGATAAATGACTGAATGAGTGACTGCATCCTACTCTAAGATATTGTTTTAAATAAAAACAATAAAAATACGGTATTCAAGTTTGATCTGTTTTGTAATGTGGTGCACTTATTCTCGGGCTCATTCTTATAATAGATTGTTTCTCCTGTCATGACTTTTTTCTCCTCCCTATTTTACGTATTTTAAGATGTATTTATCTTCAATCCAGACTTGACCCACAATCATGGATGTATGTTATCCTAAATCCCGACAAGGACTTAAAATACAGTTTTGAGTTATCATACATTCCGGCTACGGCTACAAATACGAATATCATCAATCCCGAATAGGACCACAACTATCGATTTATCATAGAGTTATCAAAGATTTATCATAGATTTATCATAGATACCGCCAAGGGCCAATATAATATATGTAGGATATCCTATGTCCAGATTTGGATCACGATTATAGATTTAGATTACCCCTTGCCCGACTAGAGCTCCGATTATGTATGTAATTTATCATATGTCTCGACTAGGGTCACGATTATGGATGTAAATTATTTCGATTATGGATGTAAGTTATCCTATGTCCCGGCTAAGGACAACGGATGAGGCACTGTCGTGTGTTATTCTTGTTGGTTCATCGATTCGATGAGGCAATTTCAGGTGTTATTTTGTTGGTTCATCTATTCATAAGCCACTGTCTGGTGTTATTATTGTTGGTTCATCAATGGATGAGGCACCGTCAGGTGTTATTCTTGTTGGTTCATCAATGGATGAGGCACCGTCAGGTGTTATTCTTGTTGGTTCATCAATGGATGAGGCACTGTCAGGTGACATTCTTGTTGGTTCATTGATGGATGAGGCAATGGAAGGTGTTATTAATGAAGGTTCATCAATGGACGAGGCACTGTCAAGTTTTATTCTCGTTGGTTCATCAACAGATCAGGCACTGGCCAAGTGTTATTCTTATTAGTTCATCAATGGATGAGGCATTGTCAGGTATTATTGTTGTTGGTTCATCAATGGATTAGACAATGTCAGGTGTTATTGTTGTTGGTTCATCAATGGATGAGGCACTTCAGGTGTTATTCTTGTTGGTTCATCAATGGATGAGGCACTATCAGGTGTTATTGTTGTTGGTTCATCAATGGATGAGGCATCGTCAGGTGTTATTCTTGTTGGTTCATCAATGGACGAGGCACTTCAGGTGTTATTTTTGTTGGTTCATCAATGGACGAGGCACTTCAGGCGTTATTTTTGTTGGTTGGTTCATCTATGCATGAGCAACTGTCAGGTGTTATTCTTGTTGGTTCATCAATGGATGAGGCACTATCAGGTGTTATTGTTGTTGGTTCATCAATGGATGAGGCATCGTCAGGTGTTATTCTTGTTGGTTCATCAATGGATGAGGCACTATCAGGTGTTATTGTTGTTGGTTCATCAATGGATGAGGCATCGTCAGGTGTTATTCTTGTTGGTTCCTCAATGGACGAGGCACTTCAGGTGTTATTTTTGTTGGTTCATCAATGGACGAGGCACTTCAGGCGTTATTTTTGTTGGTTGGTTCATCTATGCATGAGCAACTGTCAGGTGTTATTCTTGTTGGTTCATCAATGGATGAGCCACTGGTCAAGTGCTGATCTTGTTAATTTATCAATGGACGCAGCAATACCAGGTGTTATTCTTGTTAGTTTATCAATGGATGAGGCATCGTCAGGTGTTATTGTTGTTAGTTCATCAATGGATGAGGCATCGTCAGGTGTTATTGTTGTTGGTTCATCAATGGATGAGGCACTTCAGGTGTTATTGTTGTTGGTTCATCAATGGATGAGGCACTTCAGGTGTTATTGTTGTTGGTTCATCAATGGATGAGGCATCGTCAGGTGTTATTGTTGTTGGTTCATCAATGGATGAGGCACTATCAGGTGTTATTGTTGTTGGTTCATCAATGGATGAGGCACTTCAGGTGTTATTGTTGTTGGTTCATCAATGGATGAGGCACTTCAGGTGTTATTGTTGTTGGTTCATCAATGGATGAGGCATCGTCAGGTGTTATTGTTGTTGGTTCATCAATGGATGAGGCACTATCAGGTGTTATTGTTGTTGGTTCATCAATGGATGAGGCACTTCAGGTGTTATTGTTGTTGGTTCATCAATGGATGAGGCACTTCAGGTGTTATTGTTGTTGGTTCATCAATGGATGAGGCATCGTCAGGTGTTATTGTTGTTGGTTCATCAATGGATGAGGCACTATCAGGTGTTATTGTTGTTGGTTCATCAATGGATGAGGCACTTCAGGTGTTATTGTTGTTGGTTCATCAATGGATGAGGCATCGTCAGGTGTTATTGTTGTTGGTTCATCAATGGATGAGGCATCGTCAGGTGTTATTGTTGTTGGTTCATCAATGGATGAGGCATTGTCAGGTGTTATTGTTGTTGGTTCATCAATGGATGAGGCACTTCAGGTGTTATTGTTGTTGGTTCATCAATGGATGAGGCACTTCAGGTGTTATTGTTGTTGGTTCATCAATGGATGAGGCATTGTCAGGTGTTATTGTTGTTGGTTCATCAATGGATGAGGCATCGTCAGGTGTTATTGTTGTTGGTTCATCAATGGATGAGGCATCGTCAGGTGTTATTGTTGTTGGTTCATCAATGGATGAGACATCGTCAGGTGTTATTGTTGTTGGTTCATCAATGGATGAGGCATTGTCAGGTGTTATTGTTGTTGGTTCATCAATGGATGAGGCACTTCAGGTGTTATTGTTGTTGGTTCATCAATGGATGAGGCACTTCAGGTGTTATTGTTGTTGGTTCATCAATGGATGAGGCACTTCAGGTGTTATTGTTGTTGGTTCATCAATGGATGAGGCATTGTCAGGTATTATTGTTGTTGGTTCATCAATGGATGAGACACTATCAGGTGTTATTGTTGTTGGTTCATCAATGGATGAGGCACTTCAGGTGTTATTGTTGTTGGTTCATCAATGGATGAGGCACTTCAGGTGTTATTGTTGTTAGTTCATCAATGGATGAGGCATCGTCAGGTGTTATTGTTGTTGGTTCATCAATGGATGAGGCATTGTCAGGTATTATTGTTGTTGGTTCATCAATGGATGAGGCATTGTCAGGTGTTATTGTTGTTGGTTCATCAATGGATGAGGCACTTCAGGTGTTATTGTTGTTGGTTCATCAATGGATGAGGCATTGTCAGGTATTATTGTTGTTGGTTCATCAATGGATGAGGCACTATCAGGTGTTATTGTTGTTGGTTCATCAATGGATGAGGCACTTCAGGTGTTATTGTTGTTGGTTCATCAATGGATGAGGCATCGTCAGGTGTTATTGTTGTTGTTTCATCAATGGATGAGGCATTGTCAGGTGTTATTGTTGTTGGTTCATCAATGGATGAGGCACTTCAGGTGTTATTGTTGTTGGTTCATCAATGGATGAGGCATCGTCAGGTGTTATTGTTATTAGTTCATCAATGGATGAGGCACTTCAGGTGTTATTGTTGTTGGTTCATCAATGGATGAGGCACTTTAGGTGTTATTGTTGTTGGTTCATCAATGGATGAGGCACTTCAGGTGTTATTGTTGTTAGTTCATCAATGGATGAGGCATCGTCAGGTGTTATTGTTGTTGGTTCATCAATGGATGAGGCACTTCAGGTGTTATTGTTGTTAGTTCATCAATGGATGAGGCACTTCAGGTGTTATTGTTGTTAGTTCATCAATGGATGAGGCATCGTCAGGTGTTATTGTTGTTGGTTCATCAATGGATGAGGCACTATCAGGTGTTATTGTTGTTGGTTCATCAATGGATGAGGCATCGTCAGGTGTTATTGTTGTTGGTTCATCAATGGATGAGGCATCGTCAGGTGTTATTGTTGTTAGTTCATCAATGGATGAGGCATCGTCAGGTGTTATTGTTGTTGGTTCATCAATGGATGAGGCACTTCAGGTGTTATTGTTGTTGGTTCATCAATGGATGAGGCACTATCAGGTATTATTCTTGTTCATTGAAAACGTTAACTAGACGTCGTGATGAATGGTGATTTATTGATATATTTTACATATCAATATTGCTATCGTCTGTCAGAAGCACCTCCAGTTATGTATCAGTAGCTCTGGTCAATGCATCATCTAATGTATTCCAGAAGTAATTATTACATTTTGGTCTGTATAAACATCCAAGAAGACATCTATGATTGTAAATTTGTATTTCTAACCATAATTAGTCAATGTCATCCCTCTCTAAATCAATTTCTATATTCAAAATAAGAGTACACTTGTGATATACTATAACCCTATCCCCCGGACAGGTAGTTCTCTCTTACCTAAGTGGGTTTGGATGAAAGGACTACATCTGATTATCACAGTCAATTAGATATTAGGAGACTAAAGCGAGATTCAGTTACACAGACTATATATCATTATTCTCTAACTCTGTTTCTGCCAGCACTGTTTTGTTTCTGAGTGAACTTTTTATGTTTTGTAATGGACCTGGGTTACTTTCAACATCGCAGCAAACAATAATAATAATGATTTGCGTAATAAGTAAAAATTACAATTTTTTTTAAATAACCATCTCTACAATTGAGTTATACCAGTGTATCGATGTAGAAAATCTCTCAAACGATGTAGATAAGGCATCATGTGATTAACATTAATATTACCATTGTACATAAAAAGTATAGGGAACGGGCTGATTCTGGTCAGGATTATTGATGCAAGTTATCTTATGTCCCGACTAAGGCCACGATTCATAGATGTTAGTTATCCTATGATCCGCTAGGGTCATGGTTATAGCTGTAAATTATCCTATATCCCGCCAGAGCCACGATTATAGATGTAAGTTATCCTATGTCCCGACTAGGTTCATGGATATGGATGTAAGTTATCCAATGTCCCGACTAGGTCCATGATTAAAGATGAAAGTTGTCCTATGTCCCGACTAGGTCCATGTTTAAAGATGAAAGTTATCTTATGTCCCGACTAGGGCCACGATTCATAGATGTTAGTTATCCTATGATCCGCTAGGGTCATGGTTATAGCTGTAAGTTATCCTATATCCCGCCAGAGCCACGATTATAGATGTAAGTTATCCTATGTCCCGACTAGGTTCATGGATATGGATGTAAGTTATCCAATGTCCCGACTAGGTCCATGATTAAAGATGAAAGTTGTCCTATGTCCCGACTAGGTCCATGTTTAAAGATGAAAGTTATCTTATGTCCCGACTAGGGCCACGATTCATAGATGTTAGTTATCCTATGATCCGCTAGGGTCATGGTTATAGCTGTAAGTTATCCTATATCCCGCCAGAGCCACGATTATAGATGTAAGTTTACCTATGTCCCGACTAGGTTCATGTATATGGATGTAAGTTATCCAATGTCCCCACTAGGTCCATGATTAAAGATGAAAGTTGTCCTATGTCCCGACTAGGTCCATGTTTAAAGATGAAAGTTATCTTATGTCCCGACTAGGTCCATGATTAAAGATTAAAGTTATCCTATGTCCCGACTAGGTCCATGTTTAAAGATGAAAGTTATCCTATGTCCCGACTAGGTCCATGATTAAAGATGAAAGTTATCTCATGTCCCGACTAGGTCCAAGAATATAGATGAAAGTTATCCTATGATCCAACTAAGGCCACGATTATAGATGTAAGTTATCGTATGTCTCGACTAGGGCCACGATTATAGATGTGTTATCATATGTCCCGACTAGGGCCACGATTATAGATGTGTTATCATATGTCCCGACTAGGGCCACGATTATAGATGTAAGTTATCCTATGTCCCGACTAGGGCCACGATTTTAGATGTGTTATCCTGTCTCGACTAGTGCCACGATTATAGATGTGTTATCCTATGTCCCGACTAGGGCCACGATTATAGATGTAAGTTATCCTATGTCCCGACTAGGGCCACGATTTTAGATGTAAGTTATCCTATGTTCCGACTAGGGCCACGATTTTAGATGTGTTATCCTGTCTCGACTAGTGTCATGATTATAGATGTGTTATCCTATGTCCCGACTAGGGCCACGATTATAGATGTAAGTTATCCTATGTCCCGACTAGGGCCACGATTTTAGATGTAAGTTATCCTATGTACCGACTAGGAACACGATTTTAGATGTAAGTTATCCTATGTCCCGACTACGGTCACGATTATAGATGTAAGTTATCCTATGTTCCGACTAGGGCCACGATTTTAGATGTGTTATCATTTGTCCCGACTAGGGCCATGATTATAGATGTGTTATCCTATGTCTATGTTCTATTTCCATTATTGTCAAATTTGTATTAATTTCTGTGTGATTTTATGATACAGAGTTGATGTAAATGCCATAACATCTTCAAAATACTTAAAATAAAACAATGTTTATAATACAAAATATAATTATGTTTTCGGTACAAGTGTGAATACACTAGATAAATGTAACGTTGACTATATTAGTTTTTCTGCTCACTTAAGTCACTGAAGTCATGTGTTAGCAAAAACACAATAAAGAACTAATTGAATTTCCATTCAAATATGGTTATATATATATTCGCTTACACACAAACACACAAACACACCACCACACACCTTCACAAACGCATACTCACGACCACACATCCTCAAACACACACACCATCACACACCATCACACAGATATTTTTCGACACATTTAGAAAATAGATGACGAGCTACGGATAAATGTGGTGTGTTATTCATTATTTGTAGTGATAACAGTGAGTAACCGTTAAATTATTCTACATCATCAGCTCTTATAAAAACCTACCCATGACCTTGACCTCACATAACTCCAGGACAGCATATAGACTAAATGTGTTCCCTGATAGGGTATTCCTTTGGTTGTAGATTGTAACATAACTTCCAATGTTGTTACATGACCTATTTTCATGGTTGGCTGAACTCAAACCCGGGTCGCTATCATGGTAACAGGTGTCAACAGGCAACTTGGGTAGGTACACTGAAGATGACGTCACAAGAATGGAGTATCCATTCCGACGTTTTTGATCTGCAGTTGTAATATGAAATATGTATTTTGAATAATTAACTTACACTGTAATGTATAATGTTCAATTCTTTATAATCTAAATTCAGTATATTAGCTGCAACTGCTTCAGTATCATGATCTGGATAAACTGCTCATGAGATTTGGAACTACACAGGAAAACTACGTCACTTGAGAGATACTGAAGAATGAAATTGTAATTTAAATTCAAGTTGAGAACCTCATAACTTACATTTATATTAAGATCCTCGACCACATTTCTGAAACTTTCATACAAGGCTGAATTTATCGATGACAATGCCAAGTTTTTCAGTTTTACAATAATATACATTGATTATGTCGTGCCTTCAAACACTGCATTGTCGATTGTGTCCTTCCTATACCCCGGAAAATTAGAGTCATGACATGACAAACACTACTACACCAAATGCTTATCACGACCTTTACCTTCAACCCTTCAAGGACAGCTGTTCATGTTAATATGTGTATGACAGAGGTCATTTTTTATTTCAATGCCTCTGCAAACCGGGGACCCCTAGCTTACTAATCTGACGCTCAACCAATCGAGTTAAAAGTTCTCCTTAGTTGAGTGGTATATTGCGGCTAGTATTTAACCAGAGGTAAGTGTGCATCGATGATTTCAATTTCCATATTTTGAATTTTCTATTTCTTGCTTACAACACACAGAATTTTGAGAAATCACATTTACATTTGTAAATGATTTAGTTAAAATAACATTTTACTCTATAAAAGATCTTCGTCTTAGTACGACCTCTGACATTCATTGTATACGTATGAATGTGAACCTGGTAGGAAACTAAACGACAAACATGGTAACTTAAGTAGATAATCAAGCCCGTATTATATAACAGGAGTGCAGGTACTACACCTGCCAGAGAGGAGACCTGCTGGGTACAGGTAAATTTACCTGTGTTTCACACTGTACATAAAGACACTGATGAACTAAACTTCTCTATAAAGATTTGTTTTCTTCTCATTTTGTAATTACACCAGCTTCATTATCTTAAATTGTATAATGTATGAATGTGTACACGATTTGTATATCAAATGTATGAGCCAAATTATTGAAACCTGGAAGTTCTAAAATTTATTACACACAGACATTTAGAATCAAATCTTATTTTTGATAAAGGTGAGTAATGTATTTGTATGGCGTTTGCCTTATATAATCATTATAAAATTATACTGAGAGTAACCCTTCTGACTTCTTCATTACTGTATTCAAGTTGGATCCAAAAAGGAACTGTATTCAATTTGGATCCATATAGGAACTAACTAAGTATATATATATATATATTTGTAAAAACTATTCATATGCTTATTGAATGTCTGGGGATGCATACATGTATATGATGGGCATCAGAAAAGTATCTAGGGTGAGATTTATCATATATATTGGGGATACATATAGTATGACCATTATGAAATATCTAGGGGGAAGGTATATATTCAACAATATATAGCAATGATGGGTATCAAGAGATAAACACAATCATGATGTTAGAATTGCCACTCGGGTCTGGCCCTAGGGACTTAGTTTCCTTTCTATATCATTGAAGCTAGTGAGATCCCTACCCCATAACCATATATAGCAATGATGGGGATCAAGAGATAAACACATTCACGATATCAGAACTGGCCCTTGGGTGCGGCCCAACCCCTCTGGACTTAAATTCTGGATGATATCTTTGAAACAGTTGAAATCCCCACCCCATAAACCATATATTTACTATTGCTTGGTATCATGAGATAAGCACATTTGTTATGCTAGAATTGTCCCCTAGGTGTGCCACTCCTCAAGCGACTTTATTTCTGGCTCATAGTTTTGATATAGTTGAGATACCTACCTGATAACCATATAAGCTCTATCTGGGAATCAAAAGAGAAAGACAGTGATGATATAAGAATTTACCCATTGGTTTTCCCCCCATCAAGGATGCTAAGTGACTGAGCTGTAATTAAGTGGGATTCTAATTCGGAAATATTTGTAATACCCAACATATAGGAATGTATGACATTGCTGAGCTTTAAGATCCAGGTGAGTGATACGGGCCCTATGGGCCTCGTGTTTTTGTACACATTATGCTTTCTGCTACATGTGTTTTGCATTATAATGAGCCAAAGACTGATTCCTATGAATAATTTCGAGTCTTTTATAATTGTTAGCAGTAAACTGTCTGTAGTTACACTTTTTAAGACTGAAAGGATTCAAGGCTTCCATAAGGATGATGAATCCTGACCAGTTTCATTTCTGAGTAGTTGTCTGCTGAGTTTGACTTCCAAGAAAGATGCAGAACATAAGATTATTTTATGTCCTCCTAATATTCCAGAAAATTACACCATACATACTATTTTACCAGGGTTACATAAATGTTACTCCCCACCCCTCTCCCTCCCACTAATATTTAATATTTCAGATAAGTGTTCCCTAGATAACATTCTGACAACCATCATATATGTGACCAACTGACAGACCAACAACCGAAGTATAAACAGCAAATTTGTAAAATAGATAAAGTTATGGTATTGATCTCAAGGGGGATACTTTTCTGATGGGGACAAAAGTTTCCCCGGATACTTGTATGATAGGGATACAAATATGATATGACACCAGGATACCACATCTTGACAGGGATGCAAATATGATATGAGTATAGTGTTTTGTTCCGGAATACCACCCCTTGACAGAGATAGATATGAATAGTGTACGCCCAATGGGTTTGTGTTTTGTTCCGGGTAATGAAATCCTGACTCTGCTATCACACTATCTTAACCTTTTTTTTCTCCAGCTTGTTGATTCAATCAAGGCTTGTTATATTAATCCAGACTTTGCTGTCACTGAATTACTAAAAAGGGTTAAATGACAGATGCGGCTATATGAGTTGATCTCCAGAGGGATGTTGGACCAAGTTTTTTTTAAGCGTCATATGTTGAATATCATTAAACTATCGGTTTTACTATAATAAGGTGATGGGTTTGGTTGTTAAAAGTGTTTATTTTGTAGATATACTTTCTTGCTGACCACACAGAGTGGTATAAAAAAAGAACAGCCAACTCCAAACAAAAATGCATTGGTCTGATAATTATTCTTATTTTCTTTTACTGTTTACTTGGTCAGCAAATATTGTCATATATGTCTTTACCAAACATTACAAAAAGTAGGAAAAACCTTTGAAAGAGAATCAGTGTAGTTCTGATGATCCAGGCGAAATTTGTACAGTATTGTTAAGAAATATCGCCATTGTCTTTGGAATAACATTAATTCTATCCATAATACATGTAACAAAGATCGAAATAAAACCAAACTACATGTGTATATATATACATTTTTCTTGGGGGAGGAGGGAGGGGAGAGAATATACTGAACATAATATCCATTATCATGCTTTTTGTGCAAAAAGTCAACTGAGGGACAAACTTGTAACGTAGGTTTTCAAAAGAAGCAGGTTGATGAAAATTATTGGGAAGTTTTACGGTCGTCATAGTGATCTAACAAAGAAATACTTATTTCTTCGTGGGATATCAAACTAGACGTGTTTGATGCTCGTTTGAATCACTGCTTGTTCTGTTGTTGTTTGCCTTATTTCCATTTGAGGACGTGACATTTCTTACTTTGGTAATTCAAGGTTTATATGAAGGTGTTGTCGATGTAGCTTTTTTGTTCACATTTCGTCCTAGTTTTATTAAATTTGGATTATGATTATATTGACATATTGGTATTTAACTATTTTCCCCCAGCAGTCGCGGTTAAAAACAACTGGTTTCTTGTCATGATCTTTTTTTTCGATTAGATAAAAATAAACTCGACGATTTTGAGAATGGATATATAGACCTAGTACGTGTGTATTTACGTATGTGAGATCCCTACCTTCTTATATCGTAATTAGATGTTTCTTATTACTATTAATTACCGTTTAAATTAGATATAAATTAATTCATCAAAATGGCATCATACTGATGAGTATTGTTGTATTATCCAATATTTATAATTGTTGATAACAACAAAGGGAAGTAATTAACCATGTTTTCTGTGATGTCATTAATGTATTAATGACGACGTCATTAGAATACAAAATTTTCACTCTGTTGTAAAAGGTAACCAATAAAACACTCACGAGTAATTTGTCCAGTTCCTCCTTTCCTGAAAATGATTACCACGTGATCTAATACGACTCTTTGTTCAAGGTCAACTTGCCAGAAGGCAGTCTTCTGTTTTTTCATGGTATACAAGCATTGTGGTATTGATGCATTGTCTGGATCATTCAGCAAATCGGAATCATTGCCATCAACAACTAAACTTGAAGGTCCCCTTCCCTCTCGGTAATATGTGGAATTAGTCTGTCGATTGAGAGACAAATTTACTGTAAATATAAACAAATATAATGATAAAAAAATAGCGATCACAAATTTCTGTAGATACAACATTAGTATTATATAAATCAGCTTTGTAATGGAGTACATTCAGCGATTACATTGGCTGTAATTTCAACGTAGAACCATGGTGAGGATAAACCGTGCGTATTTCATTGTACTACTAACACTTTCCTAAACATCGCTTTCATTTTTGCGCATCGATTTTAACACAAACATTTTATTTAGTTTACACTATTAATTATTGTTCTTTCAATTCATAAGCGTACAAAATTTTTAAAAAATATATATTTTTTGTCAGAAAGTAAGCCACAGGAAAAAGGTTACTCTAGAAATAGGTAACAACGAGGTATTTACAACAAAAATAAATTGTACATTCATTCCAAATAAGTATTAACATTTACACCTGCAAAACGTCTGCGCATGTCTGAATAAGATTGTGCATCCATTTTTGTGGATATCATTTCTTTCAGCTCCAAAGTGTCTGCAGCATGTGAAGAAATTTAAATCCGACGAGCGAGGTAGCAAATCATATTTAATCATTTCTCCTTGCTTCATGTGACAGTATAGTCCGTGATGATGATTGCAGGGCCAATAGCTCCGTG